CAGCACTTCATGACAGACCAAAAGGACATCTTTTCCATCTATGGTTGCAGATTCAATATTGTTTCCTAATTTCATCATTTTTGAAAGTTCTCTAACACGCACTTCTGCTCCTCTGTTGTTAGGGTTGACCCTGCATTATTATGAGGATTGAATGAGATATAGAAGTAAATAAAGGCCAGGTGCAGTGGCTCACACCTGTAAACTGAGTGCTTCGGGAGGCTAAAGTGGGAGAGTTGCTTGAAGGCAGGACTTCATGAGACAAGCCTGGGTAACATAGTGAGACCTTGTCTCTACAAAAAAATTTTAAAAATTAGCCAACCATGATGGTGTGTGCCTACAGTCCCAGCTACTCAGGAGGTTGAGGTGAAAGGATTACTTGAGCCCAGCAAGCCGAGGCTGCAAGGAGCCATGATTGCACCATTACACTCCAGCTGGGTTACGAGTGAGACCGTGTCCCAAAATAAGGGAAAAAGAAAAAGAAAGTAAATGAGAAAAAGAAAAGTAAAGAGCCTATGTATCTGACACATAGTAAACATTCAATAAAAGGTAAAAATGATCTCATTATGTTAGGCAAAAAATCCTTGAAATAACAGATAAGCAAGATGATCAAGCAAAGAAAATATAAGTATATCCTGATGCTTCCTGTGCAGCTGAAATAATAAATATATATGGCTAGCCTTTGAAACCCAGTAGAGAACAATGAATAATATATTCAGCGTGCCAAGCAAAAATAGCATCGACTTAGAATAGTATTTTCAGGAGAAATAAAGGCATTTTCAGATAGATTTGCTCATCTTAACACACTATCATTCTAAAGAATATTCTTTAATAAGGAGAAACATGACCTCAGAAAGAAGGTCTGAATTATGGAAAGACAAGCTGAGTAAAGAAATGATAAGCATGTGGTTAAATAAAAAATGAATATACAAATAATAAAATCTAATTTGGGGGATTTAAATACACACACACACACACACACACACACACACACAAACACGCGCGCATGTGACAGACCTAACAATCAGCAGAGGTTTTCCAGTATAACAATTGAGATAATAATTTCTGTCCCTAAGTTATCTAATCTCAAATCCCATCTTGAACGTTTGCTAGTGATATATCTTTGATAAACTTAAATGTCATGGGCTTTATTTTTCTCACCTATAAAATGAAGGTAATAACAGTGCTTATCTCATAGGGCTTTGTGAGGGTTAAATGGGATAATTAGAACAGAGCCTGACATCCAGTGATAGCACTCTGTGTGCTGTAACTAGATCTGAGTTAACTCATGCTAAGGAGTAAATATCATTATCGGACTTGACTTTTATAGAGTAACCAATAAAGAACAAAAATAGAGTCTACAACTTCTATATTTTTCACTGGACTGGAAAAAATAGAGGAAAAATATCCTCAAACAATGTAAAGAAGACACTAAGGGAGAAAAAGGAAAAATCAAATAAAAAAACAAGAAAACTAGTATCTGGCCAAGGCAAATATATATATCAGCCAATTGAGATGATAAACTTCACACTTAAAACCTGTGTGTGTGTGTGTTACCTTTCCACACACAGCAACTGAAACCATGATTTAGACTTCTCTGATGTCATATGTACAGGAATCATATAGGCATGTAGCTAAAAGACAGATTCTTGATAGGCAGGTCTAAGGTAGGTCTCACAATTCTGCACTTCCAACATTCTCAGGTGGTGCCAATTCTACCGTTTTGAGAACCAACACTGAATAGAGAGACTATGACTATCAGAGACTGCAGACCCGGGGGCATTCAGCAGCTTCAGTGCTGGCTTACCTCCAGTAATTTCTTCTCCCAGTTTGTCGCTGGGGTCCATAGAAGATTTTACTTAATTTCTCACAACTTCATATATTTATTTAACAGGATGTCAAATTTTATTTAGCATGTTTCAGGTTTATAGTATGCAGGTTTTAGTTTACTCTGTTGTGGGAAATAAAATTCTTCTCCAAATAAGAGGAAGGATTCTTACAATCCTTGGTACTCATACTTAAATTGATCCCACTGAATATTATTTGCACACCATAAAATAAATGTATGAATATAGATTTACTCAGATCCTTTCATGGAATAAAAATTTAAATATTTCTGTAGATTGATTTTAGTCATTTTAAATGACCTTTGAATTTGTTTTAATGATGCAGGCAACAAAGAAAAATGAAGAAATAAAATAAAGATACAGTGAACTTTTGCATAATTTATATAAATGACAGATAAAAACAGATCTCACACAAACATGCTAGAAACTCATGGCTTGGCTGTTTTCTAAATCAGAGTTATACTATTGTACTTTTGATCAATGCATTTAAAAAAAACATTTAAAAATTCCTCTGATATATTTTTATAAAAATCTGAATTGCAGGTTTGTCTTTGTAAAATCTGAATTGATACTTGGGCTATAAGTGTTTAGAATACTTAAAAATATTCATCCATATTTAATTGTATTTCTTTGTAACTTTGATTAGATCTTTGATGATGCAAAATAATCGGTTTCTGGTAGGTTTATGTCAGAAAAGTGAGTTCTATTAAAATCTTACTCTTTCATTATTAAAGACTCACTGCAATGACTATTTTTTAAGTAACAAAGGCTTATAAAAAACAATAATTATTTTGTTTAACTGCCTTTTAAAACCACCAATCTCTTAAAAGTTATCCTAAGCAAAATCTCAAAAAACTGTTCAAACCATCAGTGAATCTTTGATACATCTAGTGGCATTTGGATCATAGAAGCACTCAGGATAAAACAAATGAATGCTAAAACTGTGAATATAGATATTATTTATGAAGTCACACAGACCATCTTTGTATTTTTAGAAATAAAATAGGATATCCACATATCCAAGTTGTAAAGCACATTTTAAATAAGTACATGCCATCAAGAATATATTTAAAAAATGAAAAAGCAAGAAAGAACCCGTCCTTTTTCCACACACAAAAATGATGACCCAGAAAACAACATTTATACAGGAAATGATGAAAGGAAGAAACTCAGCTAAGCATAGGTTATCTCAACTATGATGTACCAATAGAACAATCAAATAAATACATAAGGCAGAATAGATTTATTGTAGAAAAATAAAGTGAATGAGAGCATTTTCCCAAATATATCAAGGGAAATAATGAAATTAGCAAAAGGTAACATACATACCACTAATGATAAACAAGGGAAAGAAATAGCGAATTGCTCTTAATGGTGAATGCTCTGAATTCAGGTAGAAGTAATTTGGTTCACTGAGCATTATGCAGACACTGCAGAAAGGGTTATTGACAAAAGTCATGTTAAAAGAAATCTTGGTAGGGAGGCCAAGGTGGATGGATCACGAGGTCAGGAAATCGAGACTATCCTGGCCAACATGGTGAAACCCCGTCTTAACTAAAAACACAAAAATTAGCCAGGTGTGGTGGCCAGCGCCTGTAATCCCAGCTACTACTCAGAAGGCTGAGGCAAGAGAATTGCTTGGACCTGGGAGGCGGAGTTTGCAGTGAGTTGATATTGCGCCATTTGCACTACAGCCTGGGTGACAGAGTGAGACTCTCTCAAAGAAAAAAGAAAATACTGGGACAACTTCAACATGCACAAATTTCCAAAAATGGCTGGTACAGAATCACAAGGCTTCAGAATAAGAAATTATATTAATTTTCTTTGAATCCCTTAAAGTTATTCTTAAGATATCCTTAAGAACAAAACAAGGTTGAGAAGAAAAAAGCAAAAACAAAACAGAAAATATGAAACCTTACTCTTAAGAACTAAGGCAAGTGATCTTGGATATAGCTTAGTGTAAGTCTATCAAGAAGTAAATGTTATAAAGCTATGCCTCATAAATTGTTCAAATTCCTTAAAAGTAGTAAAAAATTGTATCTTTTCAATCAATTTATAACATTCCTGGTGATTGTTTGTCTATGTCATAATAGTAAGTTTATAGATAATACAGATGCCATATTTTCCAACTCAGTGGTTTTAGTAAAAATAAAAAGCAACAACAAAACAAGAAATACTAAGTGAAATATGAAGATTATCTATTTGTCCATCTTCTGTTTATGCCTGTATGTGAGGTGAACTCAGAGAAATAACACCTATGCTCCTTTTGAAAGGCCATAAAATCAAATCACATTTCTCTCAGTCATTATCTGATCAAAATGGCTTACACTGCATTCTGTGTTTTTGGCTGTTTTTGCTAAGAAGTAAAGGAGGTGGCGCTTTATCACAGAAAATGAGGAGGCTAGAAATAATGTTTTAAAATACTTTTACATAGCTTACATTCTAAATATCTCACATAATAAAATGCAAAACAATAAGCTATTAATAACCCATGTTCACATAACCTTATAAATAAGGCAGTGTACTTTGAGAATCTTTAATCACTAATATTTTTTATGTCTGTTTTTTTTTTTCTTCTATATGAACAGGTCTGCACTAGTCTGCATTAATTAAATTTAAGTAGGATTTCTGAGCCTGGATCATCATTAAGTCTGTGGCCCTGATTTAAATCTGCAGTAAAACATTTCTCCATTAAGTCTTGTGCTTTTGTGTCATATTTCATACACTAGTTGTCTCTTAATTAAATCCATGATGGTCCACCAACACAGACTATTAAAATAACTATACTTTGCACTTGACATATTTATGAGACAGAGTCATAAGACTATAGACTGATACTTGAACTTCTCACTGAGAAATGCTAATAATATTATGATGAAGGTAAGATTAGAACATTTCTCTCTTTTCTCTTCTCTTCTTTCTAGGGATTTATTTTTATAACTGCAGTTCACTTCTATTTCAGGTTCTGACTTTTTCTCCAGACCATCCAAAAGCTCTTTCATTGTAGAATGACTGCTAATTAATAGTCAATGGAAACCTAGCAAAGTGTTCATTTATATCACATGATGTTAATGTAAACATTGAACTATAATCTTTGAGTTTTGCTCTATTCACGGCTGCAAGTAAATAGGTTAATCTAGGTATATGTTTGCCAAGCCTTTAGGTGTTCAGAGTGAAGAAAATTTACAAGGACCGAAACGAGAAAATATCCCTGAGTGAAAAAGCAGTTAACTTTTTGATGGGGTGAAAAGAAGTCCACATATGTCAACCTCAGACATACTGAATTTTCAGTCTGCTCGCCACGAAGAATGATGCTCTCTTTCTGGGTGAGTTTTCAGAGAACTTAACACATCATATGGTAAAAGACAGTTTCCAGCTTGTTTTGTTTGCTTTCAATGGCCTAATATACACTTTAGTTTTTGTTTCATTTCTCTTACAAACATTTTTTTGTTTGTTTGCCATGTAGAGGGTAGGGACTTTAAGGCAGACAAATGTGCTTGAAGGATCAGGAAATTTCAAATTACTAAAGTTGTGTCAAAGCAGAGACTGTAGACAAAACAACAAGTAGAATAATCATCAAGTGATCTAATATAAACAGATGTTATCTAATACGTCTTATATTAGATATTGGGAGGAGTTCACAACTGTTAAGTCCATTATTTGCTTCCTACTAGTTCAGTAGATGTTCTGCAGCTTTTAAAAATATTGCTGTGCAATTCATCATTCAGCTCTGTTTTATCAGCAGAAGTTTTTAAAAAGTATTGCAAAATAAGAGATTAACTTAAAATATAATTTTATTATAGCAGCGGTCTGCAATGAAAAATGCAAGTATAAAATAAATTTTAATGTCTTGTCAAGAATAGCAGCCACAGTCAGGCAGCTCCACTAAACACATTAAATCTAATAAAATCACCCTCACGTACTCCTGACACTAGTAGTAATTAAAATAACTTGTTTCAAAAAAATTGGTCCTATACATGAATACTTATTGGCAATTATTTCTTAGTTCTTCAAACCAAAGATAACATAATTTGATTCTCACACAATTTTCTTGTAAATGCAGTTCATATTGGGTTTTATATGCAGCTTAAGACTGTTAATTGCCATTTTGAGCCTCCCAGTAAAATAGGGTTCAATATGTCGCTTTTCTCAAGCATACAGAAATGTTTGAGAAATGCTTGTCTTAGTCTAATGAACTGTGAATAATTTACATCCTGAGTCCTATTTTTTAGTTTAAGTGGTTCTGACTTTTCTTGATGCTTGTAAAGCCTAATCAACTTATTACCTTCATCTGATTAAAGAAAGCTATGGCAAAGTAGAAAGATGAACCCAGTACTTCTTAAAGGCGGCTCTGGTGTTTTGATTTTCTTAAGGCCACTGTTTCATTTGGATCTATTCTTCCTTTGCCCTGCTAGACAACATACGGTAAACTAAGGACTTTGTTTACGTTTGTGAGAAAATATTATCTGACTTAAAATATTTGCAAAATCCCCTACCTCCTGGCAGGCACACTCGATAACTTCCTGAATTTACAGAGACCTAGCTGTTCTGTCAGGAATAAAAAGGAGCTGTTTCAGGGTGTGAACGTTTTTTATTTCTGAAAGAATCACAGATGTGAGATGTGATTCCAGCTAGTTCTGAACATGTGTGTTAAGAACTATTCCAAAGAGATCAAGGCAGTGAATGCATTCAACAGCGACCACTGAAAACAGCAGCTTTGTGTCACCAGCATGAGAGGGTGGTACAGACATGTTATCTTGCACAGGGGGCTTGGTAAAGAAGTGAACTCATTTAATATTCACCATGTATTTGCTCAAGGATCATGTTTTGGACAAGGCTTAATTTTAGAGAATTCAAAATATATTAGAGAACCTGTGAGTTTAAAGGAATTTTAGAGACAATCTGATTTTACTCCTCATTTTGTGACAGAGGAAACTAAAGTCCAGAAAAAATAAGTAACACACTCATTATTACATAACCATGCAGCAGAATGATTGTCAACAGAACAAAGGGACATCATGATGTTGACTATTTAAAATTATGGATGTGGGGAATATCTGTGAATGGACTGCAAACGGATATTCTTTCTAAGACTCTATTATGCTATGACTGTCAATAAAAGAGATCTCTGCTTGAAGCGACATGCCTGCCAGCTATGTGATTTCTTCATCCTCAATGTGAATTTTAAAAGTCCCACTTGTAGTGGAAAATGAAGAAGAGAAGGAATTTATTTGCATTTTGAATCTATCCAAATATTAAAAGTCCATGAAGTTAAATGGCAGCATGAATTTCTGTTGTGCTTGAATATGTGATTTAATATACGTACATCATTCCTGCAAAAACTGTGAATTAGAATATAGCAAAAGAATCATCAGGCAAAGCTAAAACGTGGATATCGACCACCCAAAAATGTCGAAGTATAGGAAGTGAAGCACAGCCACTGGCAAGAAAGATGAAGGAAATGCTGAAATGAGGTTTGGTGGTAAATGAGCAAGAAGGAGAGGAAGGTAGGCTAGGGAACTTCACCCCAAGACCAGGACAAGAGCAGGATGAATAATGTATTGTGGAAAATCAAAGTTAAAAAAAAGAGGCTGGCAGCGTTTTTTGTTCGTTTGTTTCTGTCTATTTTTTTCCTATTTAGATAGTAAAGATTTGGGGTATTAAAGATTATTTGGTCTCTGCCATAACCACTCCACCCTGCCAACTGTAGACAATACAAATAATAAACAATCGGCATGGCTGTGTTCCATAAAACCATATTCACAAAAAACTAGATGTATCAGGTGGATTTAGCCTGTGGGCTGGAATTCATCTATATCTATTATAGATAAAATGGGAGATATAAGTAGATACATGATAGGTAGATAAGAGAAAGAGAGAATTGCTTAGAAAGAGATAGTTATTGGCCGGGTGTGGTGGCTCACGCCTGTAATCCCAGCACTTTGGGAGGCCAAGGCGGGTGGATCACGAGGTCAAGAGATCGAGACCATCCTGGTCAACATGGTGAAACCCCGTCTCTACTAAAAATACAAAAAATTAGCTGGGCATGGTGACGCGTGCCTGTAATCCCAGCTACTCTGGAGGCTGAGGCAGGAGAATTGCCTGAACCCAGGAGGTGGAGTTTGCGGTGAGCTGAGATCGTGCCATTGCACTCCAGCCTGGGTAACAAAGAGAGAGAGAGATAGTTACTGATGTACACCTTTTCCCCTCTATAAGCAACATGTCTTCCCATTCCTGGAAATGTATCTGAATATACTCTTGAGAATGGGAGAGGCTTCTAATGAGAATGAATAGGCTTCTAATAAAATAAAGAACACAAAAGAAAACAACTTTTGGCAAGGATATGGCTAAAAGGCAACACTTTGAGGACTGTTGGTGGGATTTTAAACTAGTACAGCCATTAAGAAAAAGAGTAATGATGTTATTAAAAAAAAAAAAAACGAAAAATAGAACCAGCATATGATCCAGCAGTCCCAATTCTGGGTATGTACATAAAGGAAGTGAAGTCAGTACATTAGAGAGACGTCTGCATCCCCATGCAGATGCACTATTCGCAATAGCCAAGATAGGGAATCAGCCTGTGTCTATCAATGGATGAATGGATAAAATGTGGTATATATACACAATGGAATACTACCCAGTCACAAAAAGGAATGAACTCCTGTCATTTGCAATAATATAGATGAAACTGGAAAACATCATGTTAAGTTAAATAAGCCAATAAGCCACACACAGAAATATGAATGCATGATCTTACCCGTATGTGGAATCTAAATATATATGATACAGAAGCAGAAAGTAGAACAGTGGCTACCTGAGACTAGGAAGGGAGGGAAGGTGAGAGGAAGTTGGTCAATGGGTACATAGTTACACTCAAGAGGAATAAGTTCTGGGGTTCTATTGCACAGTAAGTAGGGTAACTAGTTAACAGTATAGTATAATATTATATATTACAAAATTCCTAGAAGGGATGATTTTGAATGTTCTCACCACAAAGACATAATAAATGCAAGAGGTGATGGATACACAACTCCCCTGATTGGATCATTATACAAAATATATATGCATAGAAACATCAAAGTGTACCTCAAAAATATGTAAATTGTGTCAATTAAAAAATAAAAATATTAGGCCGGGCACGGTGGCTCAAGCCTATAATCCCAGCACTTTGGGAGGCCGAGGCGGGTGGATCACCAGGTCAAGAGATTGAGACCATCCTGGTCAACATGGTGAAACCCCGCCTCTACTAAAAATACAAAAAATTAGCTGGGCATGGTGGCGCGTGCCTGTAATCCCAGCTACTCAGGAGGCTGAGGCAGGAGAATTGGCTGAACGCAGGAGGTGGAGGTTGCGGTGAGCTGAGATCTTGCCATTGCACTCCAGCCTTGGTAACAAGAGCTAAACTCAGCCTCAAAATAAATAAATAAATAAAATAAAAATATTTTAAAATAAAGAACGTATGTTTGCTTTAAATATCTATCACACTACAACCACCATAATTTAAAAAAATATAAATTTCTATCATAGAAGCTTTCTTTGGTTTTCAATATAAGTAGAATAAAATCCAAGTTTTTGGACCATGTCTGACTCTCTGATTTCATCTTGTATCATCCTTTCCCTTATTCACTACACTTTAGCCAAACTGACCTTTTGACTTTTTGAACATTGAAATTGCTACAAAATTTTTCTTGCTGTCCTCTCTTTGTGAAACCACTTTCCCATATCATAGTACGATTAGCTTTATTTCAATATTCAGGTATTGGCTCAAATGTAAAGTCATCAGAGACACATTTTCTAATTTTTCTTCATTGCACACTCATCAATACCTGAAATTATTCATTTACCTGCTTATTTTCTGTGTTCCTAACTAGAATAAAATTGCCATCAGGAAAAGGAATATGTTTGTGATATTCTTCACTATAATTCCAGGACTCATGAGAGTGACTGACTCATAGTAGATGTTTATTAAATATTTGTAAATGGATGGACAAACCAGACTCTACTTTTTCATATGACTTTTGTGATGCTCAAAATAGTCATACAGTGGCAATATAAGTAGTATTGTCAGCTAACAAAACAAGGTTTGAAATAAGTTAAGTTTCATGGCTCACATTATGATCTATAAAATGATGTAACTACAATATTAACTTGAGTGTTTGCCTCTAAACCCAGTTTACTTATTTAACTGCTATATATCAAAAAATTCTACTACATTTTACAATTACTAGCTCTTTGTAAAACCCCTGTTCCATAGGTACTACTGCCATCATCACAATGTACTCTGTGCCTCATTGTACATTGTATATGTACAATGTATATGTCCAAT